CACCCCCACCCCCCCAACATGTTTGCCTTGGACACGCATCCACCAATAGATAACGCTGCGAGGCCTGGTTCTTCCCGTGGGCGGCGTCCGTGACAAGGTCCTAGCCGCTCGACGAGGAGGCATTCGCCACATTCTCCTCCCCTCCCGCAACCGCGGAGACCTAGAAGAGATCCCCTCCGAGGCCGCCGAAGGCCTGCGATTCACCTTCGTCGAAAGCATCGGCGACGTGCTGTTCGCGCTTTTCCCGACAGGGGACGGGATCGACGTGTCCCCGGAGGAAGAACAGGTGGCGGCTGCTGCCGGGGACGAGGCAGGGGGAGCCAGTGCGGGGGGTGTTCGAAGCGCGGCTTTTCAGAGCGTACGCGAGGGGCCGGGCGGCAGCGTGCCGTTGTTGCAGCAGCAGCAGGAGAGGCAGCAACAGCGGCAGCAGCTGGTGGTCGCTGGCGAGACGGGAGGAGCAGAAGGACGGAGTGGCAGCGGGTGGGAGTGGGAGTATGTTTCCGGGGTGCTTTTAGAGAGCTTCCTCTAAGATTGCGCTTGTGTAAAAGTGGTTGGTCGGTTCCCGGCGTTGAGCTGTGGATTACTTGTTTCTGTGTCTCTGGAGCGCGATACTTTCTTCGCCTCGTGAGGAGGTGGACGGAAAAACTCCCAGACCTCGTGGGAGAGTGAGGCATGAGAAAATATTTTCCCATGCGTCCATGACGGTTCTTCGTGTGATGAGTGAAAATGGCACGTTGCCGTGGTGTTTTGTTGTCGAGGGAAGCATATGTATACTAGTGTCAAGAAGTTTCCTGTATCCGGCTGTACTCGGGTCCCAAGGGTGTTTGTTTTGTGTTGCGTGGCTGCGGTCTTGGCGTTTTGGAGTTTGTCGGCGAAGTGCTGCCGGTCATGGGGTCGCTTTTGAAGCCCCTTAGCGCCGAAGCTTGCACCCGCGTGTCGTTGTGGCCGACATGCGAAACTGCGGAAGTATGTGGCGGGCACTGCCGACTGCATGTGCCGGGTGTATGTATTTAGTGTACAAGAGTGAATGCGTTTCGGTGACTGGTATGTTTGGGATAGTGCCAGAGTATTGTAACAATACGTAGAACGCGCCAGCAACATCTTAGGTTTCATGCAGTTCGCGCCACTTGAAGCGTGTCCATTTTCCTCTGTGGCAAACTATCAAGGATGTAGGTTTGATTGGGATTTAACGTGTTTTTTTTCGAATATTTGACATCAAGTTCTTGACCACCAAGCGCTCAGCAGTGAGGTGTACTGTATTGTGTAAGGCCGGCGTGGCAACGCACGATGCCCCTTTGTTGAGGCCTATCATCATCTGCCCCCCTTGTCCTTTGCCTTGGTTTGGATTAAAAAATGCACCGTAACCTGTACAGAAATGAAGCACATTTTTCTTAGTTGAAAACCCCGTTACACTTTCACCCTTCGCATGGCCGGTTGGAACCTTCCAGCCTTCAAGATGAATGCCCCGTTCATCTGGGAAAACAATCCCATGTGCGAACCCCCCAACCTGATTTGGATTGCGCGTGCTACACCTTTCACGTCGAACAACACCCGGACCGCCAGATAGACTCACGCACGTATGCCTTTCTTTGTTCTACATGTACAGTGTACACGTAAATTTGCTATGCAGGCTCCTGCGAAGACGACCCCGCGAGAATTCTGGGGGGGACCTCCCGTTACCCCCCTTCTTTTGCTCACGACGTCCTCTCCGTTGCTTACATACTGGTATGTCTTCACACTGACGGATGGATCTAATGGGCGGCGGCGGGCGCAGGTTCAAGCCTCTCTGTCTCTCTCTGTCTGTCTGCCCTCTTTCTTTCTCTCTCTCTCTCATATATCTCTCTCTCTCTCTTGCCCATCTCTCGCATAGAACAACAACGAATCTCAGAGGAGAAACACCGTACGCATAGATCGATGTCTCGACTTATTCCTTCTCTGCACTTTTCTCACATTCTTGTATTATTATAGTAGTATGCATAGTATGCATAATCTGAAACATGTTTTCACCCTATCTGTTGTCGAATGAATCCGTATTCCTCCATTAACAACCCAATCATGACCTTGCTGGTCTGAATGGTATAAGGTGAAGACATCCACAACCTACTTCTCCTATTCGTATGCATATATATCACAAAAACAAGTCAGATCATTTGTCACTTGACACGCAAAAAATGGTAATACCGTCGACCGTCAAAAATCGCAACACAAACGATCGCAGCCAATCCCCCCCCCAAGAGGGCAAATAAGAAGAGGCGTAGACAACGCACGGAGTTGACAATACTGTACGCTAGAAAGGAAGGTCCAGTTGCCGCATGTTAGGCCTGCGGTCTATATCTGGAAAGCTGCCGATATTCGGCTGATTCGGATGCTGGAGTGCTGGAGGCTGGAGGCTGGAGAACCGGAGAACCGAACCTCTCGTCATACAATACACGCCTCCCGAACCCCGTGGACAAACGTGGCAAAAAAAAAAAACTCTCGGCGGCACGGCGGTACGCCCTCTGCTGCACACTCTATTGGTTTTGCTGCTGCTCCTGTCTTGAATCCTCGCCAAGCCGGCGACGTGTGTCAACAGATGAGCCTGGTGTAGCACAACTTCTCCTGACGACGACGACGGAGCCAAGGATCGGGGTGAGAGGATCACACTCGTGTGGCCAAGGCGGACCATAACAATTGGGTCCAATAGAACAAGCGAACAACCGAATATCGCGGAGTAGAGATATCCTGGCCGGGCCCAGCTTTGCTGTTTTGGTCACCGGGAAGGCGCCGTTCAGTCAGCACAGAGAGTACGAAACGCCACCGAGATTGAAATCGTCAGGAGAAACACGTGTCTGAAGCTATAGCAGTAGAGGCGTCTATACACACTCCTGGAATTTTCGACATCTCACGACCGTTCCAAAGAACAGTGCCGGCCACAGCAGTATGGTGTACAAGACACCGAGCGTGTGTGTCAACGCTACACCACTGACTGGTGTCGGCGAAAGCTGGTGACCTAGATCCCAGCCTGCACATGTGAGGGCAAGAGTAAGATCACTCATACACGTATTGCCTCCCCATCATGAAAGACAAAAGAGGACTGCGAGACACTTTTTTTTTTTGCCACCGCTCACTTCTATGCGCTGTTCTACTGCCGATGTCCATCGCACAAAGCACGACTTGCCAAAAATCTGCAGGGCACCATAGGCAGTTCTCCTCTAAGTTCGTTCGCTAGCAGTTATCATGCCGTCGCTTTGCGTTGAACTGGAGACAGACTTCGCCATCGACACTTCAAGCACCCCATCGCGAACACCTTGGCCACTCTGTGGGGACGCGCACTTCAACGCAGGATTTGAACACACTGGTAACGTTTATTAGGTCATCCAAAACTTGGTGATAATAAGTTGGAGGGCATGCTGCTGTTGAGGTTATGTACACGAGAGCTTGAAAGAGTGAGGGTGGGATCTACGACAGTCACGCCAGCCTGCAAACGTTGCCTAATCCCTCCCAATCCAAAAGGGCACGTAAAAAGATCTCCCGCACACCGAGGTACCTCCCGGGCGGGCCGAAAAAACGTTTTCGACTTTATGCTTCTCATGGTGCGCAGATAGCCGACTTCCCGCAAGCTGCATATGGTGGACACATCGAGTTGTTAGTGACGACGTTATCATCCTTTGAGTGGGTTAGGTGCTCTCTTGATGTCCTGCATACGTAATACCCGTTTTGTGTGATCATGGCTTCGGGGTTCGCAAGACAGGACTAGCTCGCGCACAGGGTACCCCAAAGAAAAATGGGTTCCCCACCGCGGGACCCCTTATTTATATAGGAATTAGACTACCGGACACCCCAAACAAAAACTCCCAAATTAGAAAATGGGTACGCAGGTGTCGGAAAAATATGTTTTTGTACTCCGTTGCCCAAACTCGAGTCGGGCAGCGGGGGAACACCCCAAAAAGCGTCGTTCACCGTGATTTTTGTCTACCTCCGAAATTGATCAACAAGAGAAAGGGGCACCGAGAGATATACAGGCCAGGTATCGCTCTCAAAAGTCGGCTTAAATCACCCCTAGCTTGGCAAACACGTTTCTTGGTGTGTACATAGAGAGAGCCGATACAAAGTGGATTATACAAATTGAAATCTGCACTGCAGAAGCTGCTCCAAAGTTGCGTCCCAAGTCTAGAGGGCATGGGGATAGTTTCGGGCGTCCTGGACAGGGCTGACCGTCGAAAATCCCGTAGAACTTGCTGTACGGGTCCCCATCAACACGTGTGCTACGGTCCTGTTGCTTGGAGGGAGGTCCGAGGTGGAGCATTTGCGGGAACCGCGAAAATCGCTTGTGAACAACTGATATCCTTGCACACTACTTGTATGTTGTTGTTGTTGTTGTTGTCTTCATTAAAAATCGTTCCGTTCTCCCTACCCCGTACCTGCTTCTGTCCGTACTAGTCTAACAATTGACGCGGTCGGTTCCCGTGGTCACAGGTTACTTACCCAAGAAAGGTATACGAAAATGAAATGGACCCGCCGCAAGCCAATAGAAGTCAACAACAGATAGTCTAGGACACTCCGCTCGCCTCTACACGCAATGCGAGGTGACCATAGACTGGAAGATAGAAAGAAAAAGAAAAAGAAAAAGAAGGCAGCAGGTGGAGAGAAGGGAAAGAGAAAAAGAAAGTCACTCTGAGAAAGGCACACGCCAGAGTCACTACCGTGGCGACAAACAAACGAACAAACAGAGCAATACAAGACGACACAAACAACACAAGGCGGGCCACCCGAGACAGCAAATGCACGTCACCGTCCGTGTGGGGTTGGTGCAACGTGGCAGTGCCGGGGGGGGGGGGGAGTCAATCAAGGGGTTCAATCCGGCACAGTTTTTCGCGCAACTCGGTCCGCCTCTTCGCGTTTCCTGTCTTCCCTCGCCGTCTTCGTCCGTCTGCTGCACCCCTCCCGCCCCAGTGGTTGTTGCCGTGTCCGTGCTGTTGCCGGGCTTCTTGTTTCGTTTGAGCGCTCGTTGTCGGCTTTTCTCCTCTTCCTTCTTGTGCCAGGAGGTCATGAACCTCTTAGCTCCCTGCAATACCCCCCGTATGCCACGGTATACCCCGCTCCACCTTCGCCGCTTCCATCCCAGTCGTTTCCTATGCACCGCAATTTTCTGTTATTTACCATCACTCTCTCGCGAGCAGATATGGAAGACACCCCCCTGATACCAAGAGAGAGCACACCGCACGTGAATTGGCTGTCGCGCGCTTGGTCATGCCGCCCCTGGGGAACGACAGCAACAGCGGCAACCGCTGTGGAAGACGCCTTCGAGCCAGAGCTCCCCGCGGCAATCGGCCCAGACATTTTGTCTCAGATGGCTGAGTTTGTGGGCGACAAACAATACCTCTTTTTTGCGCCCGTGTCCCAAGACTGGCGGAGCGCGTGGGGGGGGCGTCCGACGGTCACGAGCTACGCCACGCCGTACACGTCGTTGTCGCAGCTGCGCTGGAGCCTCGACTGCGGCCTGAAGAAGGAAAAGGGGGTGCAGAACGGACGCGTGCTCTCGTCGCTTGCACGCACCGGTGACGTGGGGCTGCTCGAGGTCGCACACAAAAAACTCGGCTGCCGCTTGATGTCCAGATTTTTCGTCGTAGCTGCGGGATGCGGACACCTTGACGCGCTCATTTGGGCGACGAGAACCGGCGATCGTAGCTGGGATGTTAGCGCGAGTTCAGCAGCCGCCAAGGGCGGGCACCTCCACATCCTCCGTTGGGCAAAGAGCAACCGCCAGCCCTGGCAGGGCGTTACCGTTTGCTCGTCCGCTGCGGCGGGGGGGCAGCTGCACGTGCTCCGGTGGCTGCGGGAAAACGGGTGTCATTGGAACCATTCAACGTGCACGGAGGCGGCGAGGGGCGGGCACCTCGCGACGATCCAGTGGGCGAGACAACAAGGGTGTCCCTGGAGCGTCCGCACTTGTGCCGCGGCCGCAACGGGGGGTCCGCCCATTCTCCGGTGGCTGAGAGAGCACGGGTGCCCCTGGGATGCGAACACGTGTTTCGCGCTGGCGGAGGTCGGTGACCTGGCTACATTGCGTTGGGCGAAAGAGAACGGATGTCCTTGGGTCCAATCAAGGGTACTCAGTGCCGCTGCGAGAGGCGGAAACGTCGAAGTGTTGCAATACGTATTCGACAGCCAGGGCCACAACCAAGCCTTGGAAGGTCGGAGTGCGGACCTGTGTGGAGTGGCTGCGGGCGGTGGACATATTGATGCCCTGAAGTGGGCAAGGGGGAAGGGGTACCAATGGAACGAAAGAACGTGTATGGCCGCCGCAAGGGGGGGTCATTTGGAAGTTCTGCAGTGGCTCCGCCAAGAAGAATGTCCGTGGGATTATCTCACCATTCTTGCGGCTGCCACCCATGGAAACAGGCACGTCTCGAGTTGGGCGCGCGAGAACGGCTGCGATCTGCCTCCGGAAGCACGGGAGCCTGCGTGCTGCTGCCGCCGTTGCATAGAGTTCTTCGACGTGGGCGAAAATTGTTGTCAAACGACGTACATTTTGCTCTACTGCTTTTGCCTCTATTTGCCGGCTAAGTGGTGCGGGATTCTGGGAGATCGAGTCTCCAACATGCAGCTCCGGCGTTCTGCTCGCGCATGCTGCCAACGGTGTTTCAGGGGCAGTGCAGCCATATCATGAAGTACTGTAGTAGTATTGAAATATATACGAGGTCTTCCTTCGGGACGTGGTGTCAAGCTTCCCGAGGGCGACGCAAGATGACACGCCCGAAAGGCGGTTTGTGCCTGGCCGATCGGCAAAGAAAGTTAGTGCTCTTATGCCGTATAAAACATCGCATGTGTGTTTGGAGCCAGCTCGAGCAGACAACAACTTGCCGGCGAAGGTCATACCCCGGGTGCTGGTTTGGGGATTTTGCTCTTACTGCGATGAACTGAATTTGAATCCTAAACAACACATGCAGAGGCGAGAGCGCACGCTCCCCAAGAAACATATGAACACCCTGTTGGTGTATGCTCTCAGACTTGTCTACATCAGCCGCAGTGTATCGTTGTGCCCGCTGCGAAGTGTCGACGAGAAAATGTGTTGGACGTTGCGATAAACAGCGATCTACATGTCAAAAAGTACATGAGAGGACGCGAGTCAGCACGTGCGATGGAATCGGCGCCTTTTGTAAATGTTCTCGGTACTTCGACTGCAAACCTAAACTCCCAGAGAGCTGGCTTCGATTCATCACAGGCAGCGGCGACGGTGCAAGCTTTAAAGCAAGTAGATTATTATAGTATATTGGGGGCAGGGCATATGCCGTGATGTGATTATTATGTTTTTTGGTCCGGCACCAGTTGGCGCCCGCACTTCAGAGTCTATGTAGCTCTGGCCCAGGCTGGGGTTCTTAGTTCCTTTTGTGGGCCACGAATGGCCGCTACGTCGGTTTTAGTGTAGGGATTTTTAGGCGAGCTCACAAATGGTGCTCGACTTCTCAGATAATGGGTTTTCGAGGTGGGTGCTAGCTGTACATGATTTTGTAGCAGGGGCGGAGACATGTAATGCGCTTCTCCAACTCTGCAGTGCTCGGTTCCATACCCACGCGTATGCGTGAGAATAAGAATTATTCTGCACTAAAGCTGCAGCGCGTGTCGTTCTTTCAACGCGACGAGATTTGAAGCTGCCCTTTTCCCTCACGAAAAACCGCGTTTTTCTCAAAAGTTTCCCTGAATATTCCACACATACATGCACACCAGTAAAGCCGCGCGAAACTCGTACTACGTCCGTTATACCTTCAAGAGAGGTGGATTCCAGTCTCTGCGAAGGACGGTCAGCGCCACCTTGAGCTTGAGGTGGGGTCCACGGTGGCTCCCCCTCAAGCTCACTCTCACTGTACCCTCCCTAGTCAAGCCACGCTTGAGCAGCTCGGCACTTACTCGCCTACAGAACACCGAAGGAACAGACGACTACCTAGAACAGTGGGGGGATACAATCCACGATTTACGAACCCTTCAGCCCCGTAAGATACAAGGTTGGCATCCACTACGATCAAGACGCTACCTCTAGTCATCGACATGGCGAATACCAACCAGGCCAACGAGACCAAGACCAGGAAGAGAAACAACGAACCCAACCCCTGCTGCGGGCGGGGCCAGCACGACCACCACAAACCACGCCCGAAACACTACGGTAATAACCCATGTAATAACCCATCACCACCGCGGCGGACGAGCAGGGGCTTAGACCTGAGACGCACATACAGACCGTGGCGGATCCACAACCTCTCGCCCACTCCGTAGGATAGATGGGACCCGTATATATGATAAGCAAGAAATGTGAGAAAAGTTCCTTTCGCCGAAATTCGAGTTCCTAACCGAGGCGCCACAAGGTGTCCAAGTTAATTAGATAGGCCAGCTGCACCCGACAGGAGACGACAAGCCGAGAGCAAACCGCTCCACTTCCCGTGGCAGTACACCTCTCCGCGAGATGGAGCATTCCAGAACCCCTTGCTGGCCTCATTCATGACCGTCTCCATGTAGTTCTCGGATAAGTCGAAGCCTAGGTCAGTCAAGTGGACCGTCTGCACTCTTGCATCTGAGTTTCCAAGGCGGCGTATAAGAGGGGATTTAAGAGGGTTTTGCGGTCGTGAGAGGAATATACCCTGCCCAGAGCGCAGAGGGCTTACGTGACAAACCCCACCCTTCAACTCGTCCGACAGCTACGCGGACGGAAATCAGTGATGCTGGCACGGTTTCGATCGGGGTTTTGGAAAAGATCTGCAACAACTAACCCAAAGGATATTTTCGCTGACATGTTGTGAAGGGACAGAAAAGTTCCTTGACGTAGTTTTTGGGACAACCGTCGTTGCCAAATCAAAGTTGTGACACAGGGTGGTCCTGCCGGGGTTCATGGTTGACACGGTAGTAAACACTGTGGTCATCGTGGCCGTGATGTGTGGAGAAATCGATTTCTCGCGTGGTCATCATGGCCGTGATGTGCGGGGAAACGGGGGAAAGAACATTGTGCCCATCATGGGAAATCGATCTTCGACACGGTGGTGAACATTGTTGTGTCATCGTGGTCGTGATGTGCGGGGAAATCGATTTCCCCTGTGGTCATCATGGCCGTGAAAAGATTTTCCCAGCACATCACAGCGATGATGACTACAATGTTCACCGGGTCAAACATCGAGTTGATTTCCCTGCACGTCACGGCCAAAATGGACGCGGTCTTCACCGTGTCAAACATGAGCCGGGGCCGGACCCCTATTTGACACAGCCAGAGACACAGCCAGAGCCCCACTCGACACCTAACCGGCCTCCTTGATCACGGTCTCCGTGTAGCTCTCGAAGACATCAAACGGCACGTGAGTTACGCAGACCATTCGCACCCTTGGGTCTGAGCTTACATCGGGGCTGTGAGAGCGGAGTAGAGCACCAGGGGGTCGGGTGAAAGACGGAAAAGAATCGACAACAAACAGGGTGCTGACGAAACAAGTTTCGGTCGGGTTTAATGCACATATTGGCGGGGGTGCTGTCCGAGCGTATCCGTCGCCGGGACCATGGGATTCGTGCCGAAGCTCTCGCATCAGCATCTCTACTCACGCTCCATAGCCTCGCCGGAAAAGTCAGGCCCAAGAACGCAGACCGTCTTCGTTCCTAAATCTGCCTTTCCACCTATCCCAGAGCTATTATGCGGAAACGGTGATCAGTGGACCAGCGACGTATCGAGCGTGGTTCTGGAAAAGGCTCTACAACAACCAGCAAGGGATAGTTTTGCTCAGCACATTGTTGTGAGCCAATATTATTCCATAAGCTGCTTATGCCTTTCCGGCACCACGCTCTGGTACCGCGTTGGTAGAACCAAGCGTGGATCTGGAAACTCTTCAGAATCATCTGAAGGGATATTTTTGTCCAGCATATTGTTTTGAACAAAAATATCACTGAAGATGATTGTTCAGAAGCGTCTCCAGAACCACGCTGGACACCTTGCCGGCCTCATTGATCACGGTCTCCGCGTAGATCTCGGATGCTCCAACGGCAGGTTAGTTACGCGTCATGCAGACCATCCGCGTCTTTAGGCCTGCCCTTACATCGGGGCTGTGAGAGCGGAGTAGAGCGCCGGGGGGTGGAAGACGGGAACGAATCGACACCGAACAGGGTGCTGACGAAACGAGGTTCGAGTCGGGTTTATTGCATATTGGCGGGGGTGCTGTCCGAGCGTATCCGACGTCGCAACCATGGGATCCGTGCCGAAGCTCTCGCAAAGCAATAAACCCTACATGATGCTCTCAAAGACTCCCTGGAAACTCAGGCCCAAGAACGCGGACCGTCCGCGCGACACTTCCCCTTCCACCTCTCTATGCCAGAGCTACGCGGAAACGGTGATGAGTGGACCGTCGACGCATCGAGTGTGGTTCTGGAAAGGCTTTACAATAACCAGCTAAAGGAATACTTTGCTCAGCACATTGTTCAGAACAAAAATATTCCACAAGCTGGTTGTTGAGCATTTCCGGAACCATGCTCTGGTACCGCGTAGGTAGACCAAGCGTGGTTTTGGAAGCTCTTCAGCACAACCGCCCAAACGGATATTTTTGTTCAAATCCGAACAAATGCTTTCCTTTAGGTGGTTGTTCTGAAGAGTTTCCAGAACCACTCTGGACACCTTGCCGGCCTCGTTGATTGCGGTCTCCGCGTAGCTCTCGGATATGTCAAAAGGCAGGTGAGTTACGCAGACCGTTCGCGTCCTAGGTTAAGACTTTCCAAGGCGGCTCTCAGAGCCTCGGTAGAGAACCGGGGGCGGAAAAAGGATTCGGAAGATGGGAGGGAATCTACGGTAGACAGTTGGTGCTTTTGGAATGCAATCTTGAGTCGGGTTTGGTGCATATGGGTGGGAACGCTATGAATCCAACGCGTAGACCACGGGATTCATGCCGACACTCTTCACACCGGTAACTCTATGCTCACGTTCTGATAGCCTCCCTGGAAACTCAGGCCTAAGAACGCGGACCGTCGGCGTGCCTAACCTGCCCTTCAACATATCCGAGAGCTACGCGGAAACGGTGATGAACGAGGCCGGCGAGGTATCGAGCGTGGTTTTGGAAAGGCTCTACGACAACCAGCTTACGGGATACTTTCGTTCAGCATATTGCTCTGAACCAAAATATTCCTTGAGCTGGTTGTTGTAAAGCCTTTCCAGAACCTCGCTCGGTTCTACCTACCGTCTCCATACAGCTCCGGATATGTCGAAGGGTAGGTTCGTCACGTCGACCGTCCGCGTTCTTTGTTCTGAATTTTTCGAGGAGGGCTCTGAGAGCGTGAGTGGGACACTGGGGACGGAAGAATACGTTTGGAAGACGGAGTCAACCACAAACTGGATCGGTGCTCGCCTTTCGGTAGGGGTCAATGCATGTGGGCTAGGACGGTACCCGTATCCTCCCAACGTGGCGACCATGCGATGCGTGCGGACGCTCACACACCAGCAAGACCCCCTACTCCCGCTCTCAAACACTCGTTGGAAACTCAGGCTCAAGAACGCGGACCGTCCTCATGACTACCAGCCCTTAAACATATCTGAGAGCTACGCGGAGACGGTGATGAACGAGACCGGTAAGGCATCGAGCGTGGTTTGGAAAGGCTTTACGACAACCAGCTTATGGGATACTTTCGTTCAGCATATTGCTCTGAACCAAAACATCCCGTAAGCTGGTTGTTGTAGAGCCTTTCCGCAACCACGCTCGGTTCTACCTACCGTCTCCATGTAGCCCCCGGATATCTCGAAGGGTAGGTTCGTGACGTCGACCGTCCGCGTCCTTGGTTCCGAATTTCCAGGAGGGCTCTGAGAGCGCGAGTGGACAACTGGGACGGAAAATGCGTTTGGAAGACGGGAGTCAACAACAAACAGGATCGGTGCTCGAATTTCGGTGGGGTTCAATGCATGTGGGCTAGGACGGTACCCGTATCCTCCCAACGTGGCGACCATGGGATGCGTGCGGACGCTCACATACCAGCAAAACCCCCTACTCCCGCTCTCAAACACTCCTTGGAAACTCAGGCCCAAGAACGCGGGCCGTCTGCGTACCTTAACCTGCCCTTCAACATATCCGAGAGCTACGCGGAGACGGTGATGAACGAGACCGGTGAGGGATCGAGCGTGGTTTGGAAAGGCTCTACAACAACCAGCTTATGGGATACTTTCGTTCAGCACATTGCTCTGAACCAAAATATTCCTTGAGCTGGTTGTTGCAGCGCATTTCCAGAATCTCGCTCGGTTCTACCTACCGTCTGCATACAATGTATAGCTCCCGGAAATGTTGGAAGGGTAGATTCGTCATGTAGACCGTCCGCGTTCTTCGTTCCGAATTTCTAGGAGGGCTCTGAGAGCGTCAGAGGATAACTGGGGACGGAAGAATGCGTTTGGAAAACGGGGTCACCAACAAACAGGATCGGTGCTCGAATTTCGACATGGAGTTCAATGCATGTGGGCGGGGACGGTACCCGTATCCACCCAGCGTCAAGATCATGGGATTCGTGCCGAAGCTCTCGCAAAAGCAAAACCCCCCACTAACGCTCCATAGCCTCCCCGAAAAAATCAGGCCCAAGAACGCGGACCGTCCGCGCGACACTTCCCCTTCCACCTCTCTATGCCAGAGCTACGCGGAAACGGTGATGAGTGGACCGTCGACGCATCGAGTGTGGTTCTGGAAAGGCTTTACAATAACCAGCTAAAGGAATACTTTGCTCAGCACATTGTTCAGAACAAAAATATTCCACAAGCTGGTTGTTGAGCATTTCCGGAACCATGCTCTGGTACCGCGTAGGTAGACCAAGCGTGGTTTTGGAAGCTCTTCAGCACAACCGCCCAAACGGATATTTTTGTTCAAATCCGAACAAACGCTTTCCTTTAGGTGGTTGTTCTGAAGAGTTTCCAGAACCACTCTGGACACCTTGCCGGCCTCGTTGATTGTGGTCTCCGCGTAGCTCTCGGATATGTCAAAAGGCAGGTGAGTTACGCAGACCGTTCGCGTCCTTGGTTAAGACTTTCCAAGGCGGCTCTCAGAGCCTCGGTAGAGAACCGGGGGCGGAAAAAGGATTCGGAAGATGGGAGGGAATCTACGGTAGACAGAGTTGGTGATTTTGGGATGCAATCTTGAGTCGGGTTTGGTGCATGCGGGTGGGAACGCTATGAATCCAACGCGGAGACCACGGGATTCATGCCGACACTCTTCACACCGGTAACTCTATGCTCACGTTCTGATAGCCTCCCTGGAAACTCAGGCCTAAGAACGCGGACCGTCGGCGTGCCTAACCTGCCCTTCAACATATCCGAGAGCTACGCGTCGACATATCCGGTGATGAACAGAGGCCGGACGAGGTATCGAGCGTGGTTCTGGAAAGGCTCTACGACAACCAGCTTATGGGATACTTTCGTTCAGCATATTGCTCTGAACCAAAATATCCCAGAAGCTGGTTGTTGTAGAGCCTTTCCGCAACCACGCTCGGTTCTACCTGCCGTCTCCATCTAGCTCCGGATATGTCGAAGGGTAGGTTCGTCACGTCGACCGTCCGCGTTCTTTGTTCTGAATTTTTCGAGGAGGGCTCTGAGAGCGTGAGTGGGAAACTGGGGACGGAAGAATGCGTTTGGAAGACGGAGTCAACAACAAACAGGATCGATGCTCGAATTTCGACATGGGGTTCAACGCATGTGGGCTAGGACGGTACCCGTATCCACCCAACGTGGCGACCATGCGATGCGTGCGGACGCTCTCACACCAGCAAGACCCCCTACTCACGCTCTCGGAACACTCCTTGGAAACTCAGGCTCAAGAACGCGGGCCGTCTGCGTACCTACACCTGCCCTTCGACCTATCCGAGAGCTACGCGGAGACGGTGATGAACGAGGCCGGTGGTGTATCGAGAGTGGTTCTGGAAAGGCTCTACAACAACCAGCTCAAGGGATAGTTTTGCTCAGCACATTGTTCTGAACCAAAATATCCCTTGAGCTGGTTGTTGTGGAGCCTTGCCTGAACCACGCTCTGGTACCTTGGGATGTAGAACCAAGCGTGGTTCTGGACGCTCTTCAGGACATCCACCTGAAGGGGATACTTTTGTCCAGCATAATTGTTCCGAACAGAAATATCCCTTCAGGTGATTGTTGTTGTTCTGAAGCGTTTCCAGAACCACGCTCGGCACGTTGCCGGCCTCGTTCATCGCGGTCTCCACGTAGCTCTCGAATATGTCCAAGGGCAGGTGAGTTACGCAGACCGTTCGCGTTCTTGGGTCTGGGCTTCCATTAGGGGTCTGAGAGCGGAATAGATAACCGAGGAGCGGGAAAAGAGCTAGGAAGATAGGCAGGGCAACAACGAACGGGGTCGGTGCTGACGGAACGAAGTTCGGGCCGGATTCGATGCATACGGGCGAGGACGCTACCCGTATCAATCCAACGCGACGACCACGGGGTACGTGCCGACAAACCCCCTACTCATGCTCTCGAAAAATCTCCCTGGAAACTCATGGCTGAGAACACGGACCGTCTTCATGACTACCCTACCTTCGACGAACCCAAGAGCTACGCGGAGACGGTGGCGAATGAGGCCGTCGAGGTTGCGAGTGTGGTTCTGGAAAGGCTCGACGACAACCAGCTTATGGGATACTTTCGTTCAGCATATTGCCCTGAACCAAAACATCCCGTAAGCTGGTTGTTGTAGAGCCTTTCCGCAACCACGCTCGGTTCTACCTGCCGTCTCCATCTAGCTCCCGGATATGTCGGAGGGTAGGTTCTTCACGTCGACCGTCCGCGTCCTTGGTTCCGAATTTCCAGGAGGGCTCTGAGAGCGTGAGTGGACAACTGGGGACGGAAAATGCGTTTGGAAGACGGAGTCAACAACAAACAGGATCGGTGTTCGAATTTCGGTGGGGTTCAACGCATGTGGGCAGGGACGCTACCCATGTGCATCCAACGCGGTTACCATGCGATGCGTGCCGAAGCTCTCACACCAGCATCTCTACTCACGCTCCATAGCTTCCCTGGAAAATCAAGCCCAAGAACGCGGGCCGTCTGCGTACCTACACCTGCCCTTCGACCTATCCGAGAGCTACGCGGAGACGGTGATGAACGAGACCGGTGAGGTATCGAGAGTGGTTCTGGAAAGGCTCTACAACAACCAGCTCAAGGGATAGTTTTGCTCAGCACATTGTTCTGAACCAAAATATCCCTTGAGCTGCTTGTTGTGGAGTCTTGCCGGAACCACGATCTGGTACCTTGGTTCGTAGAACCAAGCGTGGTTCTGGACGCTCTTCAGAACAACCACCTAAAGGGATATTTTCGTCCAGCATATTGCTCTGAACCAAAATAACCCTTGAGGTGATTGTTCTGAAGCGTTTCCAGAACCACGCTCGGCACGTTGCCGGCCTCGTTCATCGCGGTCTCCACGTACCTCTCGAATATGTCCAAGGGCAGGTGAGTTACGCAGACCGTTCGCGTTCTTGGGTCTGGGCTTCCATTGGGGGTCTAAGAGCGGCGTAGAGAACCGGGGGCCGGGAAAAGAGCTAGGAAGATGGGGGAAGGACTCATCAACGAAAAAGGTCGGTGCTGACGGAACGAAGTTCGGGCCGGATTCGATGCATATGGGCGAGGACGCTACCCGTATCAATCCAACGCGACAACTATGGGGTTCGTGGCAACGCTCTCACACCAGCAACTCTCTACTCCCGCTCTCAAAACACTCCTTCGAAACTCAGGCCCAAGAACGCAAACCGTCTTCATGACTACCCTTCCTTGGACGAACCCAAGAGCTCCGCGGAAACGGTGACGAATGAGGCCGTCGAGGTTGCGAGCGTGGTTCTGGAAAGGCTCTACGACAACCAACTTGTGGGATACTTGCGTTCAGCATATTGCTCTGAACCAAAATATTCCAGAATCTGGTTGTTGTAGAGCCTTTCCGGAACCACGCTCGGTTCTACCTACCGCATCCATACAGCTCCGGATATGTCGAAGGGTAGGTTCGTGACGTCGACCGTCCGCGTTCTTTGTTCTGAATTTTTCGAGGAGGGCTCTGAGAGCGCGAGTGGACAACTGGGGACGGAAAATGCGTTTGGAAGACGGAGTCAACAACAAACAGGATCGGTGCTCGACTTGCGGTGGGGTTCAATGCATGTCGGGGTGGACGGTTCCCGTATCCTCCCAACGTGGCGACCATGGGATGCGTGCGGACGCTCACACACCAGCAAGACCCCCTACTCCCGCTCTCAAACACTCCTTGGAAACTCAGACCCAAGAACGCAGACCGTCCTCATGACTAACCTGTCCTTCGACCTATCCGAGAGCTACTGTACGCGGAAACGGCGATGAACGAGACCGGTGAGGTATCGAGCGTGGTTTGGAAAGGCTATGCAACAACCAGCTCATGGGATACTTTCGTTCAGCATATTGCTCGGAACAACACTATCCCGTAAGCTGCTTGTTGTGGAGTCTTTCTGAACCACGCTCTGGTTCTTGGTGGCTAGAACCGAGCGTGGTTCTGGCATCGCTCCACGACAACCGTCTTAAGGGATACTTTTATTCAGCGCATCGTTATGAACAGAAATATCCCTTGAGCTGGCTGTCGTGGGGCGATTCCAGAACCACGCTCGACACCGTGCCGGCCTCGTTTATCACGGTCTCCCACGTTGCTCTCGGATATGTCAAACGGTCAGATTCGTGACGTAGACGGACCGCAAAATCCTGCCTGTATATATATGGCAGGGGCGGCCACCCGTATGAATCTCACTCGGTGACCATGGGTTACGTGCCGACGCTCTCACACCAGCAACCCTCAACTCACGCTCTCAAATACTCCCTGGAAACTCAGGCCCAAGGACGCGGACCGCCTTCATGACCAACCTGCCCTTCGACCTATCCGAGAGCTACGCGAAGACGGCCATGAGTGAGCCGGCGACGTATCCAGCGTGGTTCTGGAATCCCTACAACCAAGAACTAGCTTAGAGCAATTTTCCGCTCAGCAATATCTTCTGAGCGGAAATATGCCTCAAGCTGGTTCTGGTTCAGGGATTCCAGAATCACGCTCGATACCTCGCCGGCATCCTTCCTTCACGTTTCCACGTTGATTTCGGATTCGTCAAAGGGCGATATTCACTAAGGCCGTCCGCGTTCTTGGGTCTGACTTTCCATGCTTGGGCTGCGAGAGCGCGAGTAGCGAATGGGGGTAGGAAAGAGGGGTTGAGACATGGAAGGAATCAACAGCAAACAAGATCGGTGCTAATCGGAACGAATTCTCAAGGTCTTGGTCAATACATAGCCGGGAACATGGGTGGGTTTGCCTGAAGGGCGTGGGGGGCGCCAACAGGTTGGTTGGAAATCGCGCGGGACCCGCACGCCGCCACTCATCGCACTATCGGCGCCAAAAACTCTTAATTGTTGGTGTCCTGCTAACCATCTGGGGTACCGATTACCTATACATGGGGGCGATTACGTGCGTGTGTTTCGGTCAGCAGGCTATTCACCGTGCCTCCCCTCGTCGTGGATCGACCGGGTAGTTAATCATTGGTGTTCCAATGGTCCCTTGTTCCTGAGTCTGAATCTCTTTTTTCTCTCTCTTGTCTGTCCAAGAAGCAGAGCGTTGACTTGCCTCGGGTTACCGAGTATCGCCTCTAGGCACACCACCGAGAGTCTCCTCTCCTCGTCAAACAAAAAACACGGCGAAGGAACCAGCCTCTACAACGAATGTCTTCTCGCAGAAGATTTCGCAACGTCTGGACTGCCAGCAAATCGACTATGTTGTCGCAGTGCAGGCAGGGGTCATGATGTTTCAAGCAATTCATACAATAGGTCAACCCGACACTTTGGGGCCACAACCCACCCCGTACGCTTCAAGACCAGACCGTGCAAACAGAGAGTACGAAGACGCCTGGCACAGCCACTAAACCGTGCCGCCCACCCACCACATGACTCGCGCCCGTCTTCTACCCTCCCCCTCCCGGCCGCCCTCAGCAAACCGAGTACTTCTGCGTTCCCCCGAACGTCCGCCCCGTGCTCTGCTGCGTGGCGGTCCACGTGACCGTAAGGCCAAGCTCCCTCGGGTTGACCTCGTTCCGGTGCAGCGACAGCCTCCCGGCGATGGCGTCGCCTTCCGCCAGCCCCTCTGGCTTCTCCGACGGCCGCAGCCACAGCAGGGTCTGCTTCCAGTGGGTGGGGCGACTCTCCGGCCCCGTCGAGAACCAGCTCGCCACCGTCATCGTCGCCGTCGACGGCGGCGGCGTTGACTGTTCCTTTCCGCCCGCCTTGGCCTCGGCACCGGTGCCGCTGATACCTGCGTCAGGGGGGCAGGGCGGCGAGGGTGGCGGCGGATCCGATTTCGCGAAGAAGCCGGTGTCGAAGGACACCACGAGGCCGCTCACGGTGCCCGGCTTGGTAACGACCATCTCGAAGGGCGCCTCGAAGTCCAGATCCTGCGCGTGCACGTGCCGGTGAGAGGGATGAGTAAGTCTTCTTTGCGGTGGGCTGGGAGCGCGGGAAACAGCACGAATCAATTCCCGCGCAAACGAATTCAAGTTCAAGTACGGGATGGGTTGGTGCCCGTGGGGTCGGGAGGAACGGCCTGGTCGCGCGGGCGAAGAGAAAGCATTTGGGTGCGCCGCCCGCTGCAAACGATTGTTACTCGGAAGTTTGCGATGCGGCTGAATGTGACGACGGTGCTTGCTGCGGTGCTTGGCCGTTATGCCCTCATCTGCCACCACCCAGCTCGAGACTCGCCGTCCGCTCGTCGCTGCAAGAACAGGGTCTACAACCAACGTCGAGTGAAAAGAGATCGCACCAGTAAACAACCATTCAAAACGTTGAGGCAAGCCCGGCTGTACTCACCCATGAACAGCTTGCTATGTTTCGTGCCGGGGTGTCGCAAAAACGACGATTCACATGCAACGCAGAAAATATTCCACCACGATTGGATCCTGTGGGACCCATGCTCCGTCCTCTCGAGGACCCGTGGTCAAGGGTCTAACCGCTAAGGCATGCAAAATATGAGTACCCAGTCCCCCTCATGCTGCGTCCTCTCGAGGACCCGTGGTCAACGGTCTCACAACAAAGGCATGCAAAACACAAAAGTACGCCCCCCCCCCGCCCCCCCCCCCAACCTTTTCTGCTCTCTAAATACCTCGTCCTCCACGGTCTCGTGGTTGAAGTCCCGGCAAAGACACCGCTCCGTGACCATGTCGGACCGGCCTACCACCTCGACGGATGCCTCGTCTAGCGGGAGGTCGGCCATGCTCGAGTAGTCCAGCCCGTGGACGTTGTCCCAGAACTGCAGCCGCCCGTCCGGATCCCTCCAGCCCTGCGTTCGTGGTTGTGACGCGCGGTTTGTGTGTGGTGGTGGTGTCGTCAGGTATTGGTTGCTTCGGGTCGGGAACGAAACAGCAGTTGTAACCTGAGCAGTTTTCAACTCCAGCCCTTCGATAGTGGTTGTGACGCGGTTATGTGTAGATAGTGTTGTCAGGTTTGGTTTTTTGTTGCAAGGGAAAGAAACAGCGGTGCTGTAGCCTACGCAACCCTTGGCAGGTACCCGCCTAAGTGACACCACGTGTTTCGAACTACGTGGGGCAATCCGCGGGTGTCATACTCGCACCTCCACGGGTAGCAAATACGCATTCGGGTCATGAGGGCGCGCCGACGTTTGCAGCATCGTTCTACTGCGCCCGTTTTTCAAGGAGGGACATTGCGGAGGCTTCTCGCCCGATTTAGAGACGCATATTGGAGGGGGCTTTGTTTGACTTCAAGCCACCGCTGCTAACAATCGCTTTGTGAACAAAACCGCACTAAAAAAACGGACCTGGATAAAGAGAGGCGTCCTGTCGGGGAGCATAACGCCTCCTTTGGCGAGGTACTTGTCGCGGGCGGCCAGGACGCTAGGGAGCATGCTCTCGTAGAAGAGGCAGTAGCCCATCCACTCGGAGATGATGATGTCCACCTTGCTCACGCCGATGTCGACGTCCTCCACTTTTCCCTTCGGGCACACGACACAAGGGTGGGAGGGGGGGAGGGGGGGGTACTCACGTAAACGCATGCCCTCGCATCCCTAATCTACCGGGAAGAGGGCGGAGACCGGGGTAGAGGGCGCCATGTAAGATATCCTTGCCTGCCTGTTTGTTGAGTCACTAAACCATACCACGGTATAATATACAGGAAACAGAAGAAAAAAACAACACGGTCTAAAAATCACTGCCCAATACAAAAAGAACCACACAAATCAACACGAAAAAACAAAAAATCCACTCCCACAAAATAAAAAAAATAAGGCAACACCGCACATACCTGCACCAGAGTCACGACGCCGTCGAACCCGTTCGCTCGCACCACTTCCCTGGCCTTGACCACGATGTCGCTGCGGTCCACGCCGATAACCTTACGGGCCCCTGCCCGCGCGGCGAAGCAGCTCAGCACTCCCGTGCCGCACCCCACGTCCAGCACCACCTGTGGAAAGGAGACGGAGGCGGCGGCGGGCTGTTTTTTAGCGGCGACAGGACCAGGACAGACGAACACGGTTTCAGTTTTTTCTGCGATGAATTTCGGCCGTTTGGGCCTGAGGACAGACGAAAATGGTTGTCATTTTTCTACAATAAATTTCGACCGTTTGGTCTTTTATGAGGGGGGCATGTGGGAGATGACGAGAGATGAGCGCTGCCGGCTGTTGCATCTGTACAGCAGTAAAAACGGGGTCCACCTATAGAGGGGGGGCACAAGAAGTAGGATAAATTGGTGTCGATTGCCACGACTTCGACGCCCGGTTTAGATTGTTTTATGCCCTGGTTATCGGAGAACACAGGGCGCATGCGCACGGCACGTCACTTGTGGAGACTGATAAGGCTTGGGGGACGAGGTAGACAGGACGGAGAGTAGATACTGGAACAGACGACACAACAAGAACAAACGCACGAAAGAGGAAACAACAAATATCGAGAAGATGAAACACTACTTCGAAGTACCGCAAGACAAAGGAGCGGGAGGGGAAGAAAAATCCCCGACCCGAGCGCGAAGAGGAAAAAAATTCACCACACGTCACGGCACACACACGAAGTGTTGCGATGCAGCAACGCACAGCAGCAGCAGCAGTTACACACCTTATCCTTGAAGAACGCTGCGTTGTCGCAGATGGCGCGCTCGTACCCCCCCGTCCGCACCGTGTCCGTGAGCATGGTCTCATGGACACCCCAGTGCGCGTAGCCCCTGAAGTAATAAGAATCGTTGTCCACCTGACGAAAGGAACAAAAACAAATCGCATTGGCACGTTATGGGGACCGTTGAGATGAGTACTGAAACGCCCTACGGCGATATGTGAACAACCTGGTACCATTGGGGTGTGCTGCTCGTGTTCGGCGGCGTGCGCATAACTGTCGGGGGAGGCTCGAGTGTGCTACGAAGGAATCTGGAGCACCGTACAACCGGACCTTTGAGCCCTAAAACAACTCTAATACCCGCCAATAGAGAGCATAGCACACAGGAACCCCCTTAACCATTGGGATCTGGTGTCTCGTGGTCTACACCGATCACTTCGCCACCGGTGTCCCCATTGCCATCGGGATGGTGGTTCTTTGCGGCCTACATCGAACGATAACGGTACGTCATCGGTGTCGAGGATGGAACGGCTCACACGAGGATGAAGTGGTCGTCGCTGCCCTGCCCTTCCGTCACCAGTGACACCATCATAAAAAAAAAGCTAACGACTGTAACGCGTGGCAGCACCAATGAGGACAGCCACAACAAGATCAACCCCGCTGTTGGCAACAACAACCCCAACAAGAGTACCGCCACCACACCACAGCAGTGCATGACTGCCCACCCAAACCAGGGCCGACAAGAATCACCACCACCAAAGCTCCAAACCAATAACTACTTACCCCAGCGACCGAACCCTCCTCATCGCTACCCTCCCCCCCCTCCGCCTCCCCCCCCGCAAGACTCCGCAGCACTCGATTGGCCCCGGCCATTCGTGCGTCCGCCGCCTGCAACGCCTCCCTCAGTCTCGCGTTCTCCATCTCCAGCTCCGATATTCTCGCCGCTGCCGCTGCGGAGACATCGAGGGCGTTTCCCCCCTCTGCAGGCTCCCCCAAAGTCACCGATGACGGTCCCGTCCTTGTTGCTCCTTCGCCCGCTCTTGATGCTGCTGTTGCGTCATCGAGAACGCCCCCCTTGTGCTCTTGAACTCCTGATTCTGGAGCGGTAGTGGCATCATCCTCGTCGTTGTCTTGGTTGTCTCCCTGAAGCAAGAGCTCTTCAAGAGACAGGAGAAGAGCGTCATCCTCCAGAGCTGGTCGTAGGAACCTGCGCACGTGCACACACACAGCAGTAGTGTGGGACGGTGGTTGAAGGAGTGCTCATGGCAAAGGCACGTGACGAACTGGGCGCACCAAACAGCTAACTATGACGTGCGTCCAATGTGCAAAAAAATGAAAAAGCAAGCTATTTCGCGGTTAAAAAACATACTGATCCTTCACCAGCTGTACTGTTTGGTCGGGCGACTTTTTTTTTACGCGGGTAAATTTACACATATATGCGTACTAGCGCGTAATCGGGGCTTTTTGACGAAGTAATCACCCGCATTGTTTCTCAAGAGACAGATGGATAGCTCACCTCTCGTCTGCAAAGGCCTCCCCCTTGCTGGCGATGACAGCAGCTTCGATGCCCGCCGCTACGTCCTTTCGCCCGCCGCCCGAGGCGGAGGAGACCTCGGTGCGGACGTAGTTGACAAGCTTGACGCAGCCGTAAAAATCGAGGCCTGACGGGCGTACGCACACACCGAAGGAACGGAAACGGGCGGGAAAACACGAAGACGGTTTCGCTTCCTCTTCTCTTTTCTTGACGCTTGTTCGCTTTTTTTACCCATCCCCAGGTGGTGCTTCAAACGTACAGACTACCAACAGGTGTAGGCTGGTGCCCAGAATAGATCGTCGGACGAAAAGCTCACAATAGTGCATGTGACGGAATGGACAAGGTCTAGCTGTGCAGGTGTCCGGTGGCGTTGTCGCCAGGAACCCAAACGGTCTTGTCCGACGGCGCTCAGTGGAGGCAGTGTCACTGCTGCTCCCTTCTTCCCGCCCGTGCCGCGTGGCTAAACACCAACAACTACGCACATATGGTACAGCACTTGTCACGACGGCTGTGCAGCTCACCGAGTTTAGTTCTGAGTGCGAAAAGGTCGAAGTCGTACGTGCCGCTGTCGTACTTCAAGGCCTCCTGCCGGGGGGAGGGCACGGGTTGCGGACGAACGCACGACAAGCTGTGATACACGGGGTTTCAAACACCGCGCAGCAGAATAAGTGGTTGTGACCAAGCTCACCGCAGTGTTAGAAGGGCTTACCCAAGACTACATAGTCAGCGCTGACTGAGTAGAGTCAATTGGGTAAGCCTTTACAAGAAAATACGTACTCTCGGCTCGTAGCCTCCCAGCTGGATCAGTGGTAGTAAGGATTTCCGGGGCCGCACCCCTCGCCATGCGCTGCCGGGAAAAGGAACTACCCCTTCCATGATAGACCCATGACCTCCTGAGCGGGCATATGCCAGACTTGTTTTGCCACTCTTTGGAAGTCTTCCTTTGATTGGATGGGGAGGCAGTTATTGGTGCTCACGTGAGACAAAACCGACGCTGTCTAAGATGCATTTGCGCTTGTAACGGTGCTTCGAAAGTGATTCAGCTGGGGTTCGAAGTCAGCGATGACTTGAGTAGTCAAATGGGAAAAAGAGTATTTTCGAACCCGCGCGTGTGTCCAGTACCCAGCCGGTTTTCCTCCACTCACTGAAAAGACTCCACCACATCCCGTTCGACTGTGGGTATATCTCGAATCGGTAATCTTTCTGTGTGTGTATTTATTATTCCTTAATCCTAACGTTAGAAAGGCTGTTGTTCGAAAAGGCTTACCCATTTTGACTATTTGTCAGTCATCGCTGACTTCGAATCCCAGCTGCATCACTTTCCAAGCACCATTAGTTATTTTTCCGGCAGCGCCTGGCGAGGGGCCCGGTCCCCGAGATTCTTACTATAGTACCACTGATCCACCTGGGGGCTACGAGCCGAGAGCCGGAGAGCGTATCTTTTAGAAATAAAAATATCTCACAAAAAGAGTTGGTTAGAAAGACTAAGCTTACCGATTTGACTGTGCACAGTCAGCGCTGAGTAATCTAATAGGTAAGCCTTTCTGACAGTTGACTCCGCAATATCTACTGGTGGGTGATCCAGGCTGAGGGATAGGTGGGGCTTGCCAGTCCTGGCATGCAGTGGTTCATCCCCCGACCGTCGACCCAACGGAGCCCTGATGCACCAGTAGTGTATCACGTAGCAAAAAGTTGACTATAATACGAATGGGTGTAAGGGTTGCTGTCGTGTGTGTGCAAAAAGGAAAAAGACCGACATGCAAAAAACTTCCATCCGCGTCAACGTTGATAGCTGGTGTTCGTCTCGTGGTCAGTCTCCCGCGCATGCGCTTCTCGCCCCGTCTCTGTCAACAAGCGGGGGGCGGGCGGACACGGCAAAAAACATGCTCCACGAGTCCAACTTTCGGTCTGCTGTCACGCTGTCACACAGCCACGAAACGTGACAGTCCCGCGCCTCGAACAACCAACAGGGCGCAAAATGCACTCCTTACCTTCGCGGATGGCAGGAGTTTGTCCTCAAAAAGGCTTCGGGCAGGAATGTCCTCGTCTTCCCAGTCACTCCACTCGTCCTCTCCTGTGACGTCCATCCTTCTAGCGTGTCAGCGATCGTAGTGCGATATGATGTGTGGCTCGCTGCGATGTGGTGTGGGAAGCGGTGCTGGTGCGGCGCAACTAAAATCTGTGGGGAGCTCCGCGGAACGGTGGTGTATCGTGTATGCTTTCCCCTCCCCCAAACTCCACGCCGCCCTGTTGCTCCATCTCCACACACAGCAACAACGACCAACCAGCAACACCGACAAGCTCACAGCACAGCAGTGACGGAGAGATGGTCTCCGCGTCCGACCTACAGGTGAATCACGCGTCGAGTTGTTGACGCCACTGGGCGCAAGGTAGTTCGAGGGTGGGCTTGGGAATTGTATGTCAGTTCAAGTAAAGCATTCCCGTATGCTAGACTTGCAGTAGTGTACAACAGCAGTTGTACACAGCAGTGTAGGTGCTGTGCGTGTTGTCGTCGCGGCTTTGCTACAAGTGTGTTCGTTCGGACCCGCAGGGGACTGAGATGCAAAGTGAATGTGAACCGATGTCAACCCGTCTAATTGTCTAATAATACCTTCGACCGCCATCCGAACTGGGGGGCGGTTTCTCTGCCCTACAGACGGATCTTTTGGCGGAGTGTGCTAACGTAGGTTGCATGATGTAAGATATCACACCCCCTGGACCAATTTTCAGAGCTCGATCACTCGGCAGGAAAAGCAGTGACGGTGCCAAAAATGGTGACGTTAGAACAGTCTCGTCGAGATCTTTCCGAAAACGTACGATTTGATTTCGGCATCCTCTTCGTTGAGGAGTAATCAGGCCTCGAAAATGGTCTCGGGGTGTGTGGTATCCTATGCAATCTACGGTATGTAGCAGTATGGCATGCCACACCGAACGACGCCCACCCTCTATCTTCGCAGCCAGCTGTATGCCTTGCTACTCTGCACCTTTGTCTTCAATTTTATCGCTGGCCCTCCTTGGTGGTTCTGTCAAGACTAAAAAGTAGGATGTTGTTGCTGTGTGGTTGGCTGGATGGAGAGAGACAGCACAGCACCACAGCAGGGCATGTCGACCACGACCGCCTCTGTCGGGTTGCCGATGTTCTCTACCCCTACCCTACTCAATAGCAGTATCTACCAGCCCGCCATAAAGACATCAGCTGCTTCGAAGCATAGGCCCACATTTTGCCGGAAAACTAAAGAGAACGAAGGCAAGAACCACTGCGCAGCGGTGGGTCGTACACTACACCCTCATGACGACCGTGGTGGTGGAGATGACATAGACATGAAACCTGAGCCTCGAGACCATGGTCTTTACTGCGGGCCGATGCTCTGCTGCCATACGTTTTAACTTGAGTTTACTCGGTGCTGTATATCTCATGTTGCGACGAATCCACTCGCTTTCTACAAGGGGCCGGGGACGGAGGAAACTGTCGCTGTTGTGCGTTGGGTCGCCCGTTGTCTTTGCATGTGATCCCCTTTGTTTTGTCTTCCCCCAGTTGGCGGCGGCCCTAGGTTGTTTTATTTTTTACCGTTCTTACCCCCGTGGCTTGACCCGTCACCCTAACTTTCGCACAACAGCTTATAAACAGGGCGTGGGCCGATCCTAGCGAATGGTAGAGCTGTGTGTCAGCATGCTAACTCAATCTCCACGCGCTTACAACTCACGTCTACATGGAATCCGTCCCTATTTCGCGGTGCGGCGGGGTTGTGCTTTCGTCAGGCGGTCATCCTCGCGTGCGAGGATGGAAAGAGGCTTTATCCCCTCACGCAGGACGTCCCCGCCCCGCTGTTGCCCGTGCTCAACAACCCTCTCCTTCACTACCAGCTTGAGCTACTCGAGAAAGCCGGATACACAGGTACATCGTTCCTTGTCGCAAGTCCATGTGATGGAAAGGGTAAGGTTTCGGATGGGTCTAGAGCACATTTTCGCCCCGCTGACAGTGTTTGTTTCCTCCTTCCTTCCACATAGTCTTCTTGTTGGGGCTGTGCGTGACCCGTGGAGCCTTTGTAGTTGGCACTGCGGCCGCTGCACGCTCCGATGTTCAGTGGAGCTGCTGTTTTTGCTCTACGGTGTTCCTGTGTACCTCCGGTTTGTGATTCACCGCCAGCACTGCTTTTGTTTTATGAAGTGGTTCGTCCTGAAAAGCGGACGAGCTGGACCTTCCCGGTTTTCCACCCTTTCTCCTCTCTACACCCACCTACCAATGGCCCAAAATGGGTTGACATGTACATGGTACCATCTTTGTTGGCGTCGTCCTGTCGTACTGCTGTGAACGTATCCTCGTCATCTCTCTCTCTATCTCTCCCCGCTCCGCCGCTGCCCCCACCCGATCGCCCCGCCCTGCCCGCCCCGCTGCCGCAGAGGCGCTGGTGGTGTGCTCGAGAGTGACGGAGGTGGGCGTGGCCAAGTACAAGGAGACCTACACGGGAGCGCTTACCCTAGACCTCGTGGTAGTGAACGGGTCGCTGGACACGGCGGAGGTGCTGCGGCAGGTGGCGGGGAGCATCAGGTCGGTTGGGTGTGATTGGCTGGCGCGGGTTGCCGCCGGATGAAGATGCTCGTGAAACGCTGTGTATGTAGAGTCGACGGAAGGTGGTGGTTTCAGGTTGTTGGCAGAGGTTAGGAGAGCTTTTCCTTCGGGGGGGGGGACGGGGGTGAGAGAGGGAAACGGTACGATGAAATACTTCGACGCGTACAACAGATGGATGGGTGCAGGTAAGGACCCCAAGACCTGTTAAACCGGCGTGCTGCTGTACTTGTGCGTAAGCTTTTCTCCGGGTGGTGTCGGGGGTTCAGAACATTGTTGGGCTCGGATAACACAGAGCATCGGGCGTCCTTCTGTATCATCGCGTAATGACGCGTCCGCCGGACAATAATGATGGTTTGGCTGGGGTGGTTTGGTGCTGCAGCTGCTGTGGGAAGCAATCAGTAGAGAATCCGCCATCTTTTCTACATTTCTACAGCATCATGTGTCTCTTCTTCGCTCTTTTTTTTTTTTTCTGTCTCGAGTCGGAACGAGTGGGGTCAGATTCGAGTTGTAAGCTCATCAAGCACAACTATCAATCAACACATGCCAGCAAGAAAAAGCCGCCAATCAATCCTGTTGACAAATCTATCGTCCGCGAAATTGACTGGTAGGCTGAAAGTACCGAATAGACATCGCTGCTGGTGCGGCTGCCACTGCTACTGCTCGAAGTACTCCCTTCGCTACCTCAGAAGACGTCGTGGTTCACGCGAACTTTAATTTCGTTTTTTTATAACTATTTTTTTCGCCGAAACACCCAACACCAGCATCAACAACATTTCATAGAGGGTCCCTGTTTAGTTCCGGTGCCCGCTATAGTGCCGATGTTTTCGGCTCGCACTCACTGAAATACCAAGTCGTTCTCTATAGTTTGAATCGTGCCAGTCCGGTATTGTGCCGGTGAATTTTCTTGGCACACACCGTACCGGCACTAGACATGGACTTGTACCGTACTACCACCACGAACAAGTGCAACGGTTACGGTTTTCTCTCGCACCAACGAGGACGTCATTGCAAACCACTTGCCAACTTTTTGTCTGCCTGTGTGCGTGCGTGCGTGCGTGTGCCGACATCCAAAAACACGCCACGGCGAAACAACAGAAGCGACTTCCTGCTTCTCCCGGGGGACCTGGTGTGCGAAGAAGTGTTGCGGGATCTTGCGGAGGTGGGTAGGGGTGGGGGATGATGGTTCTACTCGAGGACAGGTAGGGAGACAGTTAGAAGGTTTGTCGTGTCTCTGGGATGCGACTACAGCCCGTGTCGTCTGATTTGGCTTTCTCTCGACGTGGTCATGGTAAACAAGATGGCACCCCCCCTCGCTCGTGCTTTCGTCCGACTCTCCCGCTCTTGTCACCCGCACCCCTCCTCTCCCTCTCCACTCCTATCCCCCCACACATGTATACTGGGGCGTAGGAAGTAGGCTAGGCGGGAATCGATAGGATAGGGAAAACATTCTTGAGCCACCTTTGGCAATAGGAAGAAACGATTGGGCGACGCATGGTCGATGGTCTAGCAGCCAACGCATGCAAAACATTAGTACCTCCCCCCCCCCCCCTATTTCCCTCCGTCCGTGCCCTCCCCCGTCCCTCTGTTGACAAACTGCTCGTGTTGCCTCCCTCCCACGGCTACATGCCGTGTGCGGGACCTTCCTGTTGCTACTGCTAACGCACCGCAGCTGCACGTATCGAAGCGTTCGGACGTGACCATGGTCGTGAAGGAGGAGGCCCCCGTCAAGGACGCCAAGGGTCGCAAGACAGTGCGGCCCAAAAGGGACGAGGAGGTAACCCCCCCCCCCCAACCCCCTCGTAGATAGTCTGGGCCGGCGAAAACCCGGCATATCGCCCCGTGCAGGAATGCAATGTCAATAGTCTAACGAATTCGACATGTGTGTACATGAGTACACCTCACTCACCTCGTAGCCTGGGCGGGCGAAATCCCGGCGTATCACTCCGTCCCGGCATTATAGGGATGCGAGGTCGATGGTCTAACAAGTACCGCGGCATGCGGTTACATGAGTGCTTCCTTCCGTTCGACTCCTTTGCCGCTGCAGGGAGATCCCCTGCCTAAGTAGATAATGGATCATCTCGTTGTTGCTCATGTGTTGGCGTGTCCTGTTTCTGGTGTGGTGGTTGTCGGCGTCTGGTTGGCGTAGCGCTGTGTGACCGTTCGGTCGTCTGTTGTCGAGCAGGACGCCTTTTGGTTCGATTTTTTTCGTCATTGCGCCGCGTTCCGAAGAGTACACGGTTGGTCAAGTGCGACAACACGAAAACATTGGAAACAAAGCTTAACCAACAGGTTTAGGGGCACAACAACAGAGTCGGGCCCGAGCCCCCGTCCCCCTTTCCTAGGTGCGCCACGCCCAACACAAAAGACAAGATACTTGTGTGTGGTAAGGCGTAAACCTGGAGAGCCTCCCCGAAGTGTTGGTGGGTGGTGGCTCAACTGCTGCAAAGTTCGGAGAAGGATGTGTGGTCAAACGGTGCAAGAAATGATTTTCGGCCACTCTGAAATCATAGTACGTGATTTTCGGCAACTTATGGACCTTACACATGAGCCCTCCCTCCGACACCACCAGCCGGCTTAGAACTGTCTATAATGATGTGCTAACTATGATAAACCGGCTCATGTCTCGCGAAGGATCTCAATGCCCCCCCCCCCCCCTCCTCGCCTCGGGGTTGGGGTTTCGTCGCTTGGCAACGACGTTGTAAAACAAGCCGCCCCCCCCGGTGTTTGCCATCGGGGTTTGGGTTTTCGTCGCCATTGGCAACGACGTTGTAAAACAAGCCCCCCACTCGGTGTTTGCCATCGGGATTGGGTTTTCGTCGCTTGGCAACGACGTTGTAAAACAGGCCAATTCACTTCGTGAACTCGGCAACCAGGTTACCGTTTTTTTTTTTTTTTACCTCGTTTTTTTTTTTTGGCGATAACCATAGTGGTGGTCGAGTAGATCATGTTGTGCGGGGTCGAGAAACCTCACTCCGCGCAACGGGGGATGATCGCACCACGTTGTGTTAAAATGGTCAAGCTTCCTCGAGGCAGTTACACAGTGCGTACAACTGTCTCTGGAAGTGAAAGCACCAGAAAATAAATTAAGTCATACGTAGCTGTCATCCGTACGCAAGGAAGTAAGCACAAGATGCCGAACACCCTTAGCAGGATGCAGCTCACCCTTCATGCGACTCGCCAAATACCTCACGGCGCTTCGCGCTTGGTGATGTGAGAGCCTGGTCCGGTGAGAACCCGGCGTGCTCCGTCCCGGCTTTGTAGGGATGCGAGGTCAATGGTCAAACGACTACGGCATGCACGACTATGAGTATGAGTACACCCCCCCCCTCCTCGCCTCCTGTGGCTCCGCTTCTCCAACCCGTACCGCTCGAAACGTAACCAACGACGAAACGTAACCGACGACGAACCTATCGGTCAACATTGACAGGACATCGACTACGTGGGGCTTACTCAGAGCGGACGACTAGTCATCAAGCTGCCGAAATTGTTCGTGGAAGAGGTGAGCTCAGGCCGGGCTACAAGCCATATAGCTCCACCTCCCTTTGCAGAGTTGCATCGATGCTCGCTTGACGCTTCGTGTGTACGGGTTGGGGTACAAGCTCCCTCCCTACACGGAGCTGGGTGGTGCACAGTGTTCGTAAAGCGTTGGTCCGGCTGCACCGTCTGCCTCCCGGGGGACGTTGCCAAGGCGGAGGCGTTTTAATGACGCTCGCACGGTGAACGATTGGACATCGGCGACCGGTCTCTTGGGAACAACAACGCTCCGTCCTCTCGAGGACGCGTGATCGATGGTCTATAGCTAAGGCACGCAAAACATGGGTCCCCCTCTCCCCGGCCCTTGACCAGGCGTTGCGCATCCAAAAGGCGTTGCTCCGTCGCCACGAAACGGTGACGCTCAGCACTACCCTGCAAGACGTGAGCGTGTACGTGTTGGCGCACTGGGTCTTGGGCTTCCTGGACGATCAAAGAGCTATCACGAGGTATATACAGTATGGCGACGGGAGGGTGTGCGAACGAAAGAGGCAGGCGACGTTCTTGTGTGTATGATTTAGTGGGCAGCATCGATCGCGCTTATAACCGGCTGACCAATGAAAGGACTTCAGTCTCAGTGCGGTTGCAAACACAGAATTCTTCTCAAGGCCTCGATCTGGGACCTTGTGAGGGGACATCATGGGGGAGTAAGCTACTCTCCGGATTATGGACAGATGCCGTAGCAATAGCAGAAGAAACCGGCAACAAATCGTGTGTTTGTGTGTGCGTCTGTGTGTGTCTGTGCACAGCACCGACGGCGATCTACCAAACAGCGGTAGCAGCAGCGCGGCGGATTAGACGGCGATGGATGGTTTTTCTATGAAGAAGGGCTTTTGTCACCCGTGTGTTGGATGTTTGTCGGTGTAAACAGCAGCAGCGCGGCAGATGAGACAGACGGAGGAGGATGGTTATGGTTTGCCTTCTCCGAATGAGGTTTGGCACCCCCTTGTTGAGTGTTGAGTGTTTTTTCGGCGGCGAGCAAGTATAAGCGATTTCTGGTGTGCGTGCGTGAGCTCTTGGCGTGTGCTTGCCGCTCAATTGAGTTGGCGTGGTGGTGCAAGCAATCAGGGTACTCCACGTGCAAGCCTTCTCTCGAGATGCGATTGGGAAGACTTGTAGAGTGGGTGTTCAAGGCCAGTAGGGTGCGTCGGAAGGCCTTCTTCTCGTGTTGTTGTTGTCGTTCTCTCGTTCCATGTCGGACAGGCGTGTCGGACGTGCCGCCATGAGTGGGAAAAGTGGCGAGATTTCCGTGGTTCCGCCGCTCTTTTCCTCCCGGAGGCGCGCGCTTTCGTTCTGTGGCCGCTGCTGCTGTGACGAATGACGATGGCGGTGCTTGTCTTATCGGTGATGTCTTTGTCGCCGTTGGGTGCTGTTGGTGCAGCACTGTCTCCGCACCACGCCATCAGCAATCATTTCTTCGACCGCTATGTCGTACTTACAGTATTTTCTTCAACAAAGTAAAATCGAACCGTGTTCTTGTTGTTCTTCTTCGCCAGCGTTCAGAACGAGCTGGTGCCCGCCCTCGTGAGGAGACAGTTCAGAAACCCCACCACGGGGGGTGAGCCCCTAACCAAGCGCGTTGGTTCGGTTGCGGGAGAGGCTCTGCGAGGAGATGCGATGGTCGCTCGCATGAGCAGGTGAGCGAAAGAGTAAAGAGAAATCAGAGAATTTCATGGTAGCGAGAACTGAGTGCGAGACCAAGAGGAGTGAGGGGGGCGGGGAAAGGGGCCGGCCCACTCTACACACCGCCGCAGGAGTGTTCGTTGCTGTTGCGTGTCACGTTTGCTCGCCATGGCATCGTAAGGCGGAGGGTAGGTACAGTATTCATGCTGAGGACGGAGGAAAAACTGTCGTATGTTTTTTGCTTTGTTTGGCGAGACACAGGCAGGACGAGCTCCTCTCCAATCTCAAGACCCTTCAAATTGAAAGTTGCACGTGGAAAGTTACAGTTACATGTATGAGCTGACGGCCCCAGACACGTCCTCCGCAACTTGTTTCTTGCATATAAATCGCGCCAACAGCTTAGAATGTGTTCGAATCTAATGTTCTATTTCTTTCCATCTCTTTCCGGTGTAGCTGCTGCGCAAGCCTAACCCACGTTTTTTTTTTCGCGTCTCCCTTGCCGTACCTCTTGGACCAACCTGCCAACACAGAATAGAGGCGTGTACAACGCCGAGCAACAGCACAGCACCAACACAAAACAACCCAAACGACACACAAGACGAGAACGTTTAGGGTCCTGGTGTTAACCAGACCGCATCGACCACCGTCATCGTAGTTTCGCACGCCCGCATGATCCCCCGAACAAAAAAAAAAGTGTTTTTTACCGCCTCCCTTCTCTTTGGCCGTTTCAAAACGACGAGCATGTTTTTATATTCGTGGTCCCGGTTTAGCGGTTCCCTGTTTGACGGGATGCCCTGAATAGCGGTCCCACTATCTCGTGGCACCGCTGCACCTCGGTAGTCAAAACTATATAACTACCAAGCCGGTGTAGCGGCGATGCCCTCAATAGCGGCTACAAGTTTGTGACATTGTGGACACCGCTAAACCGGGACCACGACTGTAGCTGGAGGCCCACGCAGCACCCGAGTAAAAGCGTGTTTCACCGCATCCGTGATCTTGATTGCCGTTTCGAAACGACCAAAAGTAACAACACAAGTTGGAGGCCGGGGCCGGAAAGCAAAACGTGTTCTGCAGCAGCACCGCCTCCGTTCTCTCGGCCGTTTCGAAACCAAACAAAAGATGTTTTTTTTTTTATGTTGCTGGAGGCCTAGCCCCGATCGAGCGCGCCCGCAACATCCCCCGAACAAAAAAAAAAAAATTACCGCCTCCCTTCTCTTTGGCCGTTTCAAAACGACAATAATGGTTTTATGTAGCTGCAGGCGTACTGCAGCCCCGATGATGAAGCGCGCCCGCATCGTCCCTGAAAAAAAATGCGTCGAAGTAACATGTTTACATTAGATAACGCCTCCGTTATCTTGTCCGTTTCAAAATGGAAAAAATAAATAAAAAAGCTGGAGGCCTAGCCCCGATGGCGACACGGCGGACCCGGGAGAAGGCACGCCCGGCGTGAACGAGGTTCGGTGCTTCGCCCTGACTTTGAGGCACGGAGAGGCCTACTGCTCGCAGGCCAAGACTTTGGCGGCCTACTGCACCATTAACAGGGAGGTGCGATGCTATGCGCAAGAGCGCTTTTTGGGTGGGTGGGTGGGTGGTTGGGCGGTTGGGTGGTTGGGTGGTTGGGGGCGGGGGCGTACTCATATTTCGACGATATGTTTTGCGTTGAATAGGTTGCCACCCGGTGTGGTATTGTGCACATACGGCGTTGTTAATCTTGGACGCTGTCGTGTGATGCAGGCGTGGCTTTCTTGCGGTGGTAAGCTAGTCGAACCGGCGAGATGCGATGTGGTGTGGTCGGGTTTGGCGTGCGCCCGAGCGTCCTGCGATCAATACTTCGTTCTGGCCTCTACCCGGATAACGTTTCTGGACGCGAGTCACGTGTTCGTCTGACCAATGAAAAGACATTCGTGTGTATGTCAGCATCGACCTTGCAAACCGGGTGACCAATGAACAAGACGTCAGTCTCAGTACGGCTGAAAACAGAAACAGCTTCTAAAGGACATGTGTGACCTGGTCGTTGTAGCTGATCCACCCTAACTTGACCGCTGCGCGACCCTGATGAACTTAACCTTACATGGGTGTATATCGGGCGGGTGCCAAAACGAATACCTCTACCCCAAGCGTGTGTGTGATCCGATCGTTGTAGCTGATCCACGTGACCTGGACTCTGCGCGACAAACACATGGCATGTGATGTGATGGGCGGCGTGTGCGCCACTCCCGAGAGCAGCTGTTGACCATGAGGGAGTTCTCGGACAAGTGCCCGTGGAGCATGCCGGACGGCTTCCGCCCCAAAGACTCAACCCTCGTAGGCGAAGGCTGCCACTTGGGGCCGAAGGTGAGCACTACAATAACAAGCACCCAGGCTTGTTTTTTTTTTTCGCGTAAAACGCATGCCGTAGTCGCTGGGCCGTAGACCTCGCACCCCCTACAACGCCGGGACGCGGAGCGATATGCCGGATCAGCAAATTTTGGTCCTTGTTCCATGGTGTATCGTGACGGAGGTTGTGCTCCTTGTTCTTAGGATTGTGTTCTCCTCCTTTCTTGCCGGATCTACTCACAGGTGTGTCGTGGTATGCAGATTTCTTCGCGCGGCACGACCCGACCTCCTGTTGACCGCGAGGCTTGATTTGGCCACAGCCGGGGGGGGACACGAGTGTACTGCTGTGGCGTTTTTTATTTGGTTGCGCGCGTTTGATCGAGGTTTGGGAGTGTTTTCTTGAGACAAGAGCGCGACGTGCATTTGCGTCCTTCCTTCACCGGTTGCTGTCGTCATCGTTGTCGACATTTTGTCGTGCTCTTCGCAGGGAACCCTCAAGTTCTCGGTGATCGGCCAGGCGTGCAAGATCGGCGAGAAGGCCAAGATCAACAACTGCATCATCATGGATGGTGTCACCATCGGGGACAAGTAAGGCTATAGCTTAAAATACGTAGCCTAGGGTCCCGCCCGCTTCGTACCCCACTGCAGCGAGAGGTCCAGTCAAGCTTTGCTCCGTCAGCACCAAGCTCGTCGTGCTATCGCCGCTCTTATCGAAAACCCCTTCCACCCGCGTTCGCTTCACCGTGACCTCGCCCGAAGACAAGCATGTAATCACGAGCGCTCGAACAAAGATAACCAAGAGGGGCCCGTGAGCCCTCACGATGGGGTCGTCGTCGACGACCTTGCCCCCCCCCCCAGCTGTCATACGTACGCCAGGAAATAAGCACAAGATGCCCAACACCCTTAGCAGGATGCAGCGCACCCTTCCTGCGACTCGCCAAATACCTCACGGCGCTTCCCGCTTGGTGATGTGAGAACCTGGTCCGGTGAAAACCCGGCGTGCTCCCTCCCGGCTTTGTAGGGATGCGAGGTCAATGGTCAAACCACTACCGCATGCACGACTATGAATACACCCCCCCCCCCCCCCCC